ATATATATATGTTAATGAAAATTTGAATATAAGATTCCATTTGTAAAAGTATCTTATCAAATATGCAACATGGGTCTATTTATTGAACAAAGCAAACAGAGTTTGCAGATAGTTGAGCTGAGTTCCATATACTCATACCCTTATCATTCGCATCGTCCTTATGAGTAAGTAAGAGCACTCCAGAGTACACCACGACAGCGGCAATAGTGGCCAGCGTCAATCCCTTCACCAGCGACATCATCAAATATGCTAAGATATATATCTATATTGCAGTCGATTATGGTCTGATGTAGGTGTATATTGCATGCACAAACGGTGTGCTGTTGGATAAGGGCTACTTTCGTACCCAGATGTGCAGAGTGGGGTCTATAATACAACCGAGTTCTATGTATTCAGCATTATTCAGTGCAATGGCGACCTGGATAGTTTTGTCCCATATCGGCACACCCACTCATATGCCATGCCAAGATAGTAGTACAGGATGCACACACCTATACTAACCACATTTGTAGATAGCTATAATACAAATATATGCACATCTGTGTAAAACATGGACATATTCATATATTCTTGTAGCATATGAACAAACAATAGCCTTCTTCTGAAATCCAACAAGAAGGAATATCATAATTCTGTATGGAAATCACTTGTTCTATAAATAGAAACGTCACGACGAACGTGAGTGATGACATATTTCTGACAGCCGTATGACACCTCCAATTTCATCTGCGGTGTAGGTTTTTGACTTGCAGTGACTTGCAGTGTATTGTGTGTATGAGAGATGGCGATATACCATGGCATACGTACGTGTATACATGCCACGAACACATGCTAAACTAGACAGCAACAAACACATCCTACAGTACATATATCGACGTATATGTGTGTGTGAGTATGATTGGAACCGGCTTCTTCCCCCGACAGTTAGTCGCAGGCGGAGGGGCGTTATCGAACTTGCCTGCGGTACTGCGCAATATACGCAATACCAGCAATAGGCTGGTTGCCAACCCACTGATTGTGACGGATCCTTTCTTGAAGTCTACAGGTATGTCTTAGGTATGAGCCTATATGGATGTGTATGTACTAATGTGTATGTTGTATGTGATATCTTTAAATATATGCGATAGTAGCAACATGCTGGCTGCTAAACTGATTGGGACGGATTTGCCGCCAGGTACAGAACATGTAGTATGGACGTTGGTGAGTTGAGTCTGAATTTTTCCGTGTGGATGTAGAATTTTAAAATATAAGTACTACCAGAAATATATTGTTTGCTAATACGCTTCTCCTGAAGGATTAATATTTGAGGTTTACAGTTATGTGTAGAGTATTCCTACTGTGGATTGTATTGCTATTCTAGTATCTTTCTGTGTATCCTATCCTAGCTATTCTATTATCTTGTGTGTTTGTACTGTGAATACTTTTTCTATTCTAGTATCTTCCTGTGTATCCTGTCCTAGCTATTCTAGTATCTTGTGTGTTTGTACTGTGAATACTTTTGCTATTCTAGTATCTTCCTGTGTAGCCTATCCTAGCTATTCTATTATCTTGTGTGTTTGTACTGTGAATACTTTTGCTATTCTAGTATCTTCCTGTGTATCCTATCCTAGCTATTCTATTATTTTGTGTGTTTGTACTGTGAATACTTTTGCTATTCTAATATCTTCCTGTGTATCCTGTCCTAGCTATTCTATTATCTTGTGTGTTTGTACTGTGAATACTTTTTCTATTCTAGTACCTTCTTGTGTACCGGATCTTTATTTCGTTTTGAAGTCTATTGGCAAGTGCAGAGCTTCATGTGTATATGTATGGGTTGTACAATAGTTGATCCTTTGTATCATACGTAACGTCGGCATTAGACAGGTGGCAAATTATTGATAGTGGCGTATTGGGAGTGTGCAAAGTATGAGTGTGTATTGATTAGTATACGCGTGATCCGCTGATTGTGAATGATTTTTACTTGAGGTCTACGTGTATATGTACGGCATCTGTCTGTATGGATAGCATCCGTGTATATATGTAGTATATTATATGTGTGTCAACTCAGATAGAATTCATGGTAGCTGCTTGTGGTTTTTAACAAATATGCAAGTTGTTGATGAACTAGCATAAAATTTCGTTTGTATATATGTTTTACCGCACAATATTAATTTCAGATATTAATATAACATGTACATATAAGTTAGTATATATGGGTATGTATCTTTTTATATATGGGTCATATCTATTAAAATGAGTCATGTAAAAACAAGGACATTTTATATGTAAGTCTACACATCTATGAACATATATATATATATATATATATATATATATATATATATTGTCGTGTGTCGTCGTG